CAAACGCCTCCTGAATGCCTGAACATGTTCGGGTATTCGGCCGAACGCTTCCCGAACGCCCGAACATGTTCGGGTATTCGGCCGAAAGCCTCCTGAACGCCCGAACATGTTGCAGTACTCGGTGGAACGCCTCCTGAACGTGTTCGGTCCAAAAGATTCTTTATAATGATTTATTTTTTTTTTTATTTGTTTTTAGGTTCTTGAGCTTGGGTACATATTTGAGCATACCTCCCAGGCAAAAGTTGTTTGTATTGTTATTTTACATAATATATATTGTTTTCAGAGTTTTCTGAGAAACTTTGTTTTCTTTTTTCTTTGATGTTCGCGTTCCGAGGGTTTTGGCGCTCGTTCATGTTCAGTCGCAAATGTTTGGGTTCAGTCACCTACACATGCTAATACTTAAGGCCAATTGTTTTTTTCCCCATGTAGTACGCTACTTAGCGAAGTTGTTTCAATAGGTAAGCTGAGACTACTTCGCCAAGTAGCACGTTTTTTTTTTTTTTTTTTTTTTTTTTTCCCCTCCAAACAACACAGGGCCCTTCTATTCTGGGGCAGCAGTGACTGTCCGGTTACTTATCCCTGGGGCCATGTCCCACTTGCAGCATTGAGTAAGTTCAACGCTGAGTTTTCTATCACCTGCGACCTGGGGCGACCCAGGAGATGAGTTCGCTCACCATCCATCGGGCGGTGTGATTTTCAGAAAAGAGGAATTTCAAAACGAAAGTTGGATTGCGATTTGTTAGTAGCATAGCTTACCTCTTCTCGCCCCCGTGACTATCCCCGGCCCCAGAGGGTGTCAAGGCGGGCCCCCCAATTCGCCACTGGATTGCCTTCCTCCCTTGGCAAACCCCAGATCTCTCTACAAGGCCTCACGCTCCTGCCGTGGCAGGTTACAGGGTAACACCCCAGCTCCGGCCAGTGTCGTTCTGGCATCGGCAAGTTGAGAGCATAGAACAGAGCAACCCTATTGATGTCAGTCCAGGTGCAACCATCTCTGAGGTAGAAGACCCTAATAAAGAAGAAGACCCGATGCTGTTCCAGGTTGGGGCCGAGGTGAATCTTTGCTTCCCTCCCTGTTGACCCACAGCCATAGCCATAGCAATTTTTCATTTTTGGGGCAAGTATGTTGAAGTCACAGGTGCACTTCCGAATGGGCAAAAACATCACTCCGTAGGCAGGTTTGTCAAGTGGGAGTGAGTAAAGGCAAGAAAACAGCTGAAACGCAACATCCTCGTCGTCCAAGTTCAAATCGGCAAAAAAAACATC